CATCTTTTTATATCTTGACTATATTACATTTTGGCGCAATCTGATTCTAGGTTATGCGAGGGTGGAGAATTGCTGGACCGGATATTGGCCAAGTAAGGATACTTAATTGAGTCAATATTTTTTATCAATGTTTTCAATAGTTTCACTTCCAGCAGTAACTTATGCTAACCATCTTCTATCAGGAAGGATAGCCGATATAGTGAAAAAGATGCAGCAGTAGTTGTACGGCAGATGCTCAAAGTTGCTGCTGAGTGTCATTTGCATGGCTTGGTTCATCGTGACATGAAACCTGAGGTACGTGTTCAACTACATTAACTTGGCTTGTAAAATTTCCTTTTTAGGAAGTCTTGCTGCATGCTTATGGTTCCCTCATTCATTCTTCCGTGTAGAATTTCCTATTTAAGTCAACCAGAGAGGACTCTCCTCTGAAGGCTACAGATTTCGGTTTGTCAGACTTTATCAGACCCGGTATATGGCACTTTTGGCTTGCTAATGACATAATCTTCATGTGACAAACATCAAAGCTATATAATCTGACTACAAATCAATGCAGGGAAGAGGTTTCAAGATATTGTTGGAAGTGCCTACTATGTTGCTCCTGAAGTATTAAAAAGAAAGTCGGGGCCCGAATCAGATGTATGGAGTATCGGTGTAATTACCTACATTTTGCTTTGTGGGAAGAGACCCTTTTGGAATAAGACAGAGGACGGCATATTTAAGGAGGTGTGGTACATTTCCTATTCATGGATCTTGATTTGTTCTTTTATAGCTTTCTACTTTTAGGCATTCGTGCTATGCCTGTTTCTGCACCACGCAGATGTCACATGAAGATGACTTACTTTTGGATATGTTCGTACTCCATTCAATCCTTTATTCTCTATTTATGTAAATGTCCAGGAAAATTTATGCATATTTGTTCACCTTCCAAGTTACTTTACCGTCTCAGATGTGTTATGTTCTGGTTTTATTATTTAATGGATTTATTTTCTGGATAATTCATATGCAATTGCCTATGACTTCAGGTTTTGAGGAACAAGCCTGATTTTCGTCGTAAACCATGGCCAACAATTAGTGACAGTGCTAAAGACTTTGTGAAGAAGTTATTAGTGAAGGATCCCCGTGCTAGACTAACAGCTGCTCAGGCCCTATGTATGTCGTTAAATCATTTCTTGCACGTCAAGTTTACATCTAGCTCCCAAAACAAAGATTCTACTTTGTTTTCATTTTTTCCTCGGATTTTGTCGAGAATACCTGATTAGTTTCAATTTCTTCAGCACACCCATGGGTTAGAGAAGGAGGGGATGCATCTGAGATTCCTGTTGATATATCTGTTCTGAGCAACATGCGGCAATTTGTGAAGTATAGTCGATTGAAGCAGTTTGCTCTGAGGGTAACCTAGTTTTTCTTCCTCTCAAAACATTACTGGATTATTTTATGTGTGCTAGAGGATACTCTTCCCTCGTTTGGTTGTTCATCTCTTGATGCATAATTATAATTATCTTATAGGCATTGGCTAGCACACTTAATGAAGAGGAGATAGCCGATCTTCGGGATCAGTTTGATGCAATTGATGTGGATAAGAATGGTTCTATTAGTCTTGAAGAGATGAGACAGGTAAACATTTCTATCATTCCGAACATCTATCAGGTTACTCTGGGTCTTTTTGTTCGGCCTAATAAGGATGGATTCATGCAGGCCCTTGCTAAAGATGTTCCTTGGAAGATGAAGGATTCACGTGTCCTAGAGATTCTTCAAGCGGTGAGTACCTGTTTCGTGTTCTTGGTTTCATCTTTCTGTTTTATTGGTTTTGATTTTTGTGCCTTTGTCTATTTCCTTCGATCTCAGATTGATAGCAACACAGATGGGCTTGTTGATTTCACCGAGTTCGTTGCAGCAACTCTACATGTGAATCAAATGGAAGAACATGATTCCCAGAAGTGGCAGATGCGGTCGCAGGCAGCTTTTGAGAAATTTGATGTAGATGGAGACGGATTTATAACTACGGAGGAGCTTCGATTGGTAAGTACTCTATGATGAATGTTAATAATTAAGTTCCATTATTAACCATGTGTAGTTATTTTTGCAGCACACGGGATTAAAAGGTTCCATTGACCCTTTGCTTGAGGAGGCTGACATTGATAAAGATGGAAAAATAAGCCTCTCTGAATTTCGACGACTTTTACGAAATGCAAGCGTTGGCTCACGACATGCACCTGGTGCTTGTCCTCGACCTCGTTCTCAGAAAAATCAGATGCAATAGGTTAGAATAGAACTTTTGAGGGTGGAGAGCAATGAGGATGCAACATTTCCGGGTTTTTGTTTCTTCTCCGTGAGCAGAGTAAGGAGCCTCTTTTCTATAGTTATTGTTCATGGCATGTGGTCCGTTGAATTCACTGCTGAGAAGCTATTTCTGGATATGCGAGTTGGTGTTGTCTGTGGTGGGGTATACATGTACATTTTCACTGGTTGGGTATTTCTTCTTTTACCCTTCAAATCTGTAATCTGATTATAGATAAATTTATTAATGGAAACTATGGAATTCATGCCCCCTATTTATCTTCTCTTCTACTTCCACTGCTATCGTTGCCATCCATCTTATTTGGATGTGAGGGACACGAATTCTTTAAAAAGTTCAAGTTTAGGTATTTTAAGTTATATAAATCTAAGAAGTGCGAAATTAAATTATTAAAAATTTAATTAATTATAAGAGAACTGAATTTTTTTTTAAAAATACGATGGTTTCTACATCTACTTGATATATCATCCATGGCTGGGGAAGTCATCTTGGTGTAATAACTGCGGTGGGACCTTTTGAAATTCCACTTGTTGGACATTGAAACACCCATCCACTCCATTAGGATAGGAGGAGAGGAGTCCTGGTTTGAAGACCTGACTACTGAGTCCTTGAAATGGGCTGAGTCTGACCGCTGCCCACTGCTCATTCATTGCCTTTGTTGGACTGAGTGTAGGATATGATAATCCCAACTCATTTTGGTTGAATTTGTTGGACTGAGTCTAGGATATGCTGTAACGAAACTAAAAAAAATCTAAAATCTAAAATTAAAATGTCATTTGCAAAATTATTACAATTTCTCATGAAGTTGATATACACTAAATAATTTTCTGCCATATAAATAAAAAATATAAATTAAAGTAATTATAGGAATATGAGGGCTACCTTCTAGCTTAATTTGTTCTATTCACAACGTCAAAATTTAAATCTCTAGTCTTACTTAAGAGATTTAATATTTCATTCTATCAAATTAATTAGTTATTAATATTAAAAACCATTTTTATGCAAAAATAAATTTAAAATTTTATTGAATTTAATAAAGAAAAATTAAAAATGTTACACAAATTTTCATTCACTCTATTCCAAACATTTACTTATGTTGAGCCATATACATGCATGGTAAAACAAAACGGTGGGTGCTACATGTTCCCTTGGAAACAAAGAAAGAGAGGCTTGCGAGACAACTTATTTATGGTTGCCTTTGTTCTTGGGGAAAGGAAAAGATCTGTTTGTTGATTTCCTGCTCAATCGATGGCACTATTAAACAAGTCTACACGTTGAGATAATTCAATTAACGTGCAGATATCCGTGGCATTGACAACGTTTATTAAGCTTCACGAAAGCATGTTCTTGCGGTTTCATTTTCTCCTGAATCTTACGCCTTCAGAATCCTATTCCGGGTGCAAGATAACCCATTATTATTGTCTCTATTCACGTGCCATGTTTTTGGAGAAGTAAGGAACGTCAATCTCATATAAAAAAGGAAAATAAGATTTTAAAATTTATAATCGGTAGTGTTGTCATACGTGTTTTTTTGGAAAGAAAATAATAAATAACTTTATGATAAATGGTATCAAAACGATCTTTTTACTGTCTGATTTCACATCGAACGTTTTAATGGATAGAACAAGCCGTCAACAAAATTTGATCAATTATCTAATAAATTAATAATACTTCACATCTTTAGGGGGAAGGGAAATCAATTGTCCATACAACAAAGTTGCTTTGGGGCTATGTTTCCTTTTGATTAGAGGGCACACAAGGTGGGCTTTGCCAACAAAATAAATTATTGGGGCATTAATTGTTCGGTCACTGGCTAGCTGTGAACTGATACAGTCCAATGCATTTGCTGTCCAACATTATTGTCAAAGTGCTTATTTATTCTGGAAGAGAGTACCACTGCCTAGCCTTAATTGCAAGAGCTGAGACAGTAGGAAGATAGGTAGCGGCCATGGAAAATAGCGGCAAGGATTACGTAGACCCGCCTCCGGCGCGGTTGTTGGACATGGAAGAGCTCAAGAGCTGGTCCTTTTACAGAGCTCTCCTAGCTGAGTTCGTTGCTACCCTTTTGTTTCTTTACATCTTAGTCGCCACCGTTATCGGTCACAAGAAACAAACCGGTCCCTGCGACGGTGTTGGTCCTCTTGGTATTGCCTGGGCTGTCGGTGGCATGATTTTCGTTCTCGTCTACTGCACCGCCGGCATCTCTGGTATCACCGAAAACTAATTGCCATGTCTGTGTGTGTGTGTGTGTGTGTAAGCTCACAGTTAAACTTGAGCAGGTGGTCACATTAATCCAGCTGTCACTTTCGGGTTGTTCGTTGCCCGGAAGGTTTCGTTGATTCGAGCGGTGGCGTACATGGCTGCACAGTGCCTGGGAGCCATTTGTGGCGCAGGTTTAGCCAAGGCATTCATGAGGCACGCATACAATAAACTAGGGGGCGGTGCCAACACCGTGGCTCCTGGATACTCAAATGGCACCGCCTTGGGAGCCGAGATTATCGGAACTTTCGTCCTCGTCTACACCGTTTTCTCCGCCACCGATCCCAAAAGAAGTGCACGTGATTCCCACGTCCCTGTAAGTATATTTATAGTAACAGTGTAACACAAAACAAAACATCACTCGTAACATGACTACACTTTATAACTAAACTTTCTCCGTGTGTGGTTTGATTAGGTGTTAGCTCCGTTGCCAATAGGATTCGCTGTGTTTGTGGTGCACCTGGCCACTATTCCCATCACCGGAACCGGAATAAACCCGGCCAGAAGCCTCGGTGCTGCCGTGATCTACAACGATGAAAAAGCCTGGGATGATCAGGTGAGTATACTTTATGGTCAAAATTTCATTTCTCAGCTTCACCACTTATGGATTCAATATTAACCTGATGACAAAAAACAGTGGATATTTGGGTCGGTCCGCTCATCGGAGCGATGGCGGCGGCGGCGTATCATCAATACATACTGAGAGCAACGGCCATCAAAGCTTTGAAATCGTTCCACAGCATCCCCACAAATTAGAAACGCCATAGATGCTAAATAAATGCACTTGTAAGCTGTAACTCTGTATCATTATTACTGCTTGACATTGTTGTTGTATGATTATTCTTGAATGGAGTAGGTATGGGAATTTGAATGCCATGGCCAAGCTTTGTATATAATTAATGCATCGACATCGACAGGCTCAAAATTCCAACTGAGCCCTGGGGAACTCATAATCTTGCATTAGAAGACAACAATCCCATGATAATTTGTGGGTAAAGTCTTACAAGATGAGAAATCAATACTTTTAGGGCAACTCCATCAACCAAATAACTATATTTACGATTACGTCACCGCTCAACTTCACTTCCATCAAACCTATATTTAATTGAATAACCTACCTACCAGAAATATCTTGAATATGTATTAATAATAAAAAATATTTGTTTGAGGTAAGCATAAATAAATTTTCAAGGTGTGTACCATCAGTAAAACGAATAACTAATATAAAACGAATAACTAATATAAAGAAATACAAATTTTAAGGTGGGCACGTGCCTACTTAAAAATACATACGTCCGCCACTGGTTATAGAGAATAACCTACTTAAGCGGCTATTATAGGAATCTAAATGAATGAATTGTTTATGAATCATTTGTATAAAATTTAATTTATTAAGTTAAATAAATGAGTATGAATAAAAATTTTATGTTCATTTAATAAACGAACACAAACAAAGATGTGTCCAATTCATTTATGTTCACGAATAAACTTATTTATTAGCTCGTTTATAAGCTTATTTACCCATTTCTCCTTTCCTTTTTATTTCTTTATATTTTAAACATTGGTGAAGATAGAGACTAAATTGAACACATAGTGAACTTTGAAGTTTAAACTGTGAAGCCTAAGGAACCCAAGTACTAGTGGTGTAATTTCACCTTTTTCTTTGGTAAAAAGTGAAATGAGCGTGTTCGTTGCTACGGGTATTCAAACCCCAGACATGCTATCGGTTCACTGGTTCAATCGATTTGATCGGTCGGAAGAACTGGACGACGTCATAATTATTTAAAAAATTAAATAAAAATACCAAAAATATTTAATAAAAAATAATTTTTTATATCACAAGGCATATTCAAAGCAAGTCATAACATATATAAGTTAAAAATCATAAAATCAAGTGAAACAAAATGATTCAAATTAACTACAACATAATATTTAAGGTAAAACATATTAAATAATAAATATAATTATATAACTATAATTAAAAAATAAATTTGGGGTTAAAAAAATCATAACAAAATGATATTGTTTGGTTTAATTTTTTTTAAAACAATTCCACGTGGCTAAGAAACATAGAAGAGCATCCCAAAAGTCTAAAGAGTCAAAATATGAGAACAAAACAATATCACATTGCTAAGAAACATAGAAGAGCATCACAACTAACTTCTATAAATAATAGAGGTAATTTGGCATTCAAAATCATGGAGCCTTTTGGAGAGCATTGAGTGAACTATTCTTTCACTTCAATCAAGCTCGAATTTTAGGCTTCAATCGAGCTTCTAAATTTTTTTGAGTTCAAACATTTTTGAGTTCAAGTTTTAATATTATATTTTGAGTTTGAGTTGAACTTGATAATTTTTAGCTTGTGAGTTTGAGTTGAGTTGAACTTACTTTTAAAGTTTTCAAGTTCGAGTCGAGCTCAGCAATACTCGAGTTCGACTTGGCTCGTTTAACAAACGACGTTGTTTGGTTTAATTTTTTTTAAAAAAAACAAAATTCCCGGTTTTTCCCGGTTTTTTCTGGTTTTCAGCCGGTCCGGTTCGAACGGTTCAGCGGTTCTGACCGGTTCACTAATAGCGGTTCAACCGGTTTAGATTGAACCGGACTAAGCAACGGTTCCCAGTTAAACCGACCGATCCGATCCGATTTTCAAAACAGAGTTCAAACCATATACATATTCCCAAATATATAAATAAATATGTTCACAATTATTAAATGAATCGAACATAAATTTATTCAAGAAAAAATAAATAGATACGAACATGAATTAAACATTAATATGAAAATAAACACGACCTGAATCACTTATTTTACACTCCTAGCCATTATATGAAAAACAATGCCCAAGTTCCTTACATATATTTAAGTAGGGTTCCAGGCCTACCTTGGAACATGTCTTTCCATCACATTTGATTGGGATCCAATCCATACATCCCCTACAGCAGGGTATTGGCCAAATAGTTTTTCATGCAATTTGTCAAAAAGAGCTGCCCTTCCCACGAAAGAATTAACAAATCGAAACAATTGACTGATTGATGAAAATGTTATACCCATTGAGGAATAAGTTTCATACCTTTGAAAAAAATCAAATAATTTAGGATTGATGTAAAGAAACATACTAATAATAATATTTTCGTACTTCGAATAGATCGATAAGAAAAATATTTATCATAAATAAAAATTAAAAAATTTAATTTTTATTTATCATAAATAAAAATTAAAAAATTTAATTTTTAAAACAATTTAATATCAACTTTATAAAACGATTCATCCTAAATGTATTTTAATATAATTTTGAGATGGTAAAACAGTGACTAAAAATATAAATTTTAGGGTCAATTATACAATCGACCATTTAACTATTGCCCCTTTTCATTCTAACCATCATTTTTGAAATTTTGTCAATCAAGTCATCCAACTATTTAAATGCATTCAATCAAGTCATTTGTCATTAAACTTTAATGGAGAAGCTGACATATTAGTTAAAAACTTAGTATAATTACACATTTGGTTATTATTACTTACATATTTTATCATTTCGGTCATATTTTTAATAAATTTAACAAATTTAACAATTTAAGATAAGATTAAAATAAAAATAAAATATATTTTTAGGTTAAGACAAGAATAAAATAGATTTAATAATTTAAAATAAAAACAAGAAAATTAATGTTAAGATGTGATTTTAATTTAATATGTGAATTTAAGTTAAAATATATAAAATATTAAGAATTTAAGTTTAGACTAATAAATAGAATATATACTATATGTAGTCTATTTTAAACCAAGTAATTTTTCTGGCTCAATGGTTGAACTGTTATGTCACACCCCAATAATTAGAGCTCAAATTAAATTGTTTTAATTTTCATTCAAGGGATCAAATTGTAAAGTTTTGTCAAATCTTGAGGTGTAATATTTTACAAACATGTGGTTGAGGAGATTTAAACCCGGGCCCCAAAAAATGGCTGCTCATGCCTTAGCAAACATGTTAGACTACTATTTAAGGAATAAAATATTAAAACTCATTTTTTATATCTGATTTGAATCAGATTTTGTTGTGGAGGGGGGAACAATAATAAACAGCCCTTTTTTCGAGCATCTGAAATCCCCAAAATTATTAACATTCCCCATCACTCGTTGCTGTCGATTTCGTCGTCTCCCGGTCACAGTGACCTACATCGTTGATACCTTCGTGATGGTTGGCATCTCCCGATCAAAACCCTCTTGATCTTTTATCATGGAACGCTGCTAAACATCATAAATTTAGCCATCGAATGTTCATTGAAAACTCACCGGCCACCGTTGAATTTCTTTGTTTTCAACCGATCCCGGCATTAGTTCATTGCACCGCCACTGCCACTGTACTCCTTGAGAAGTTCCAATCAAAACCCATGCAACCCTTTTCCCTCATTGTCGCTCCATCATCGTGAGTTGTACATTCACCGTGGTAAGCACTTTTGTAGACACTCGTTTTTGACCGGACTTCAAAATTATTATAAATATTAAATATATTATTATTATTATTAATTATTGTATTTTACATTTGCAAGCCAAAGCCCAATATAACCTCACCCAAATTACAACAAGCTCAAGACCCAGTTCAAGCCCAAGACTCGAATTAGACTCATCAACTTGACTTGGTTCAAGTCATCACCAAGTTATGTTTCCCACGTGTTGTTGTCACCTACCGAACAAGACACATGCTCGCGCCAATAATGCCATCTTCAGCATTTCACGGGAAACTTGCAACAAAGTCATCTGAATCAAGGGAAAAGTCAATCGATCATACCTAAACTTATCAAAGTCACACCAAATGCAAAGAAAATGTGTAAGAAGAGGACAAGGGGCTTTCGGTGGAAAAAAGAAATAAAATGAGGGGGCTCTCGGCAAATAGAGGGAGGCTCGGCCAGAAAAAAAAATTAGAGGGGAGGAGCAAAAAAAAACAGAAACGAGAGAACCATAAATTATTAGGGGTAACAAGCAGAAAAAATGATTCGAACAGAAAAAAAAACGTTTCGAGCAGAAAAACCATTGGCAAACAGAGGGGATTTTCTCGATTTTTAACAGATACGAGGGGGAAACAATTGTAACGGGGGCAACAAAAGGATTCGAACGATTAGCAAGCAGAGAAGATCACATACGTACCAAAGGAGAAAATCAAAAGCAAAAGCAAATGTAATCCTTCTTCCCCATTTCATGCAGAAAAAACAATATAAAATAGAAAGGATTTTGAAAGTTAATCCTCATATGGAAATGAAATACAGAACATAGGTTTTTTTAAGGTATATATTGTTTTTGTTTTTTTAATCAAAATCAACAATGAAATAATCTTTGCTTTAGGAGCTTAACCATTTTCATATTTCAGCCACTACTTTCCCATTATTATTCAAAGCATGATTCGAAAAAAACAAAATAAAGTAAATAGGCAGTGAGATTTACCTTTTGATATGGATTCGTCGCCGGATTAAGGAACTCGAGATTACGAGTTTAGGGTTGTTTAGAGTTTACTCAATAGTCGAGGGCGGTTATCGGAGGGGTTCTAGGTTTCGGTTAGGGTCTTGTTTGGTTGATCTCGGGGTGTAGTCATTGA